TACGCAGCAAGCCAAGAGTTCAAAAAGCAGCCTGTTTATGGGAAACTTGGAGACAAGATAAATTGTCTGTGATAAAATAACCTTGAAAACTCCCGGCATTATAGCAGTTTGGTTTCGTACTCAGAGAGCAGGGTCTCGCGTTTGGTAATCCTTTTTTGCTCTTTGTTCTGCCACTGAGATTTCTCTTCCTCCCCGCCCCCACCCTCTGGTTTCTAGATGCACCTTTGGGTCCAGAGGCCACACCCATGTTGAGGTTCCCTTTTCAGCAGCAGGCCCCCACAAATCTTGGCTTGGAACAGCAGACACATCTTTATCAAAGGTCATGTTAAGTCTGGGGAAGAAAATTCCTCCCCGGTAGAGAAGTACAGCAAATGAAAATAGAAGGTGACCTTACAGACTGCCAGTGGCAAGTGTATGTGGGTGCTGACAGGCGGGAGTGGGCCCTCCCCAGGGAGGGGGAGGGGACACACCTCCTCCACATCCAGCAGGACTCTGGTCTGGATGGGAGCTTTTCAACATCCCCTGCAATGTTGACCCTGGGCTTTGTCATTTAATTTAGGTGGAAGACTACCTGTTTGAAAAAGCAGAGGTCAACTTTTGGGCTGAGACCCTAATCTTTGTGAAATACCTCTCTGAGCACCTCTTCGGGCTCCTCTCCAAGTCCAGCTGCCATCCCCTCAGCCCTGAAAGCCTCCATCATCTTCATAGGACAGCGTCAGAGCAGAGCCACCTCCTCTCCCGGCTCTTCAGAGAGCTGCCACCAGCTGCTCAATTTTTGAAGACAGTGGAATTCACGAGACTGCGCATTCAGGAGGAAAGGACTTTGGCTTGCCTGAGGCTGCTGGCCCTTCTGGAAGGAAAGGAAAGGGAAGACAGCCCCATTCTCGGTGCTTCCGACTCTCCTGCAGAAGCAAATCAGTTCACTCTCGCAAGAACAGAAACGGCTTGTTGAAGAAAGAAGACTTTTGGGGGTGGGCTAAGGGTGGACGGTTTCCCCACGGCATCTGCAGGGAACACATTGAACATCAATGCAAATATTTCCTTCCCTTGGTGAAGCTAGTCTTCTGTCCCTTCCTACAGAGGAATTTTTCTTCAGTTCCCCCATTCAGGGCAGCCCAGTTTATGGCAGCTACTGTAGGAAGTGAGGCTACCACATTGAATATTGACTCTGTTCCCAGGTGCAGGCCACCTGCAGACCTGAATTCACTTTTGTCTTCTTCCATGACCTCTAACGTCCAGGCATAGCCAGCCGGCATTTTCTGTGAACTGTACAGAACTGGTTTGTAACTCGTGATTTTTCTCTCCTTTTCTCCGTTGGATAGAAGAGCCGGATTCGTTGGCAAACAGCCCATTGGGTCAGAATTCCAAATTTTATTCTATTTTAGCTAAGGCAGAAGTAGGTTCCGAATGTTGGATACTGGGAGAATTCTAGATCAACTGCATAGAAATAGTTTTGTTTTTGCTATTTACATGTGTGAGTCCTGCAGTGACCTGCACATGCCGTCCGAATTATTAAAAGAGCTCCTACCTACCAAAAGTGTTTAAACTAATGCCAGGAAACCTGATTTTGCCACCCACTAAAAGCATAGACCCTTGGCTGTCAGAAGGAAGCCCAGGGAAGGTAAAGCCAGAATAAATGATTTATTCACTTCCTACACGGTTCACTGTCATTTTCTCAGTGGCAATAACAACATTCTCATTTAAGATGTCAGAAAACACATTTATGCACTTCAGTGTTTGAATCTAGACCTACCTTAACGGGTTTTCTGCCTTTTGGAAGACCCGCGCAGCCCTCTTCCTCTGATACCCAGCAGGTGTCGCTCTTGCATACATTTTGCTGCTATTCCAGCCTTTCCTTGGCTTGCCATTTTCTACCTATAATCTCAGAATAAGCGTTGCCCACAGACGGCTGTCTTGAAATTCATAGTTTGGATTGGCCATAGGCTCATCCATATTGGTTTTTCATCCTGGTTATCCGAAAAAGCCATTTTAGTAGTAGTATATAAAGTTGGTCCGGCTTTTAGAGTCTGTAAATATCTTAAAGTACTTCTCAGATGAACAGTCACTTGGAAATACGTTAAAGGGGCAGTTTAGAGGCGAGAGGGTTTGATACCATTTCCTCCTGCAGAAAGGCTCGTATCCAAATTTGTTTCTCTTTAAAAGTAAACCACCTAACACTAAAAAAACAGCCATACTGGAAGTATAGAGGAAGGGCCTATAGGAAAAGGCAGGGAATGAAGTAAACTTAAGAGTCCAAAACTTTGTCCTAAAGAGAAGAGGAAATTCTCTGGATGGTTTTGCACTATTCAGCTCAACATGTGTTTTTTGTGATCCTGAATTAATTACCTGGTTGGGCATCTGTGTAGCCCACACATGAGGGAAAGTGGCCAGTCTAACATTTCTTTTTGTTCTGAGAAAGGAGACCTGACTGGGAATCGTTGGCACGATGCAGTGATGACCATGGTTCAGTAACTGTGAAACCGGCCCCCCACAAAGCCAAGCTCACTGGAAAAGCCCAGCATTCCTTTTTTCTCCATTTAAAATGAAATGAAAGCAGTTATATTATAAGAAAAAATACTTTCTACTAGCGGGTACTCCGTACCAAAGCATGTAAGCATAGTGTATTTATTACATGTTATCTCCAGGATCCTTCTACCCAGCCTGCAAAATGGGTGTTCTCATAGCTGCCGACTGGGAATTACCCCAGATTTTGATACTGGCTGGTTGTGGCCAGCCTGGGAGGACAGGAAGGATAGATATTTCTCCTGGTTTCAAATCTGAAATCTTGTTACTGACCTACAATAGTGGTGGCTAAGGAAATGGCAGTTTCACACTTGCCTGATGCATTCCCAGGGGAATCTTAGAATACTGCTATGGGGGGCAGGGGGAGCTACCCTGGAACTCCTGTGTTTGGGGTCATTTCAACAAAGAACAAAACAGAACAGTTGGGGTTCTTGGGCTGTGAGTGTCAGCCACCCGTTGCCCAGAGCTGCCTGGGGACCAGTGTAGCACTGGGTGCAACCATCCCCAGAGGGAAGGAGTCACCTCTTCTGTCCAAGATTCGGTGCCCCTCAGGTCTGCAGGCATGATTCGGTGATTTCCCTTCCCATCCAGCCACAACCCAGAGACCTCTCCGTTTTTATGCGTTGTCAACTTGTTTTAATAAATAATAGGGGTTATACTTGTTCATCTTTTATACACCTTACCAGATAACTCATGTGCGCCTTGACAAAGGGGAGAGGTGATTAAAGCAGGAATTATCTTAGTTTTACAAGGAAACACAAGTACCAAAGAGATTATGTGATTTGCCCAGGATCACATGCCTTGGAAGGGGCGGGGCTTGAATTCCAGCCCTGTGTTTCAGATCTCAGAGGCCTTGCAGCCCTACTCGGGCTCAAGCTCTCCCGGTGGGTGGTGGGAGTTTCAGCAAGAGGAACTGCGTGCAAACTGAGCTCTGAAGGGTCAGTTTCATGAGTGACAGACCTGGCTCCTTTCCTTCCAGGTGAACGAGTGGAAATGCCCACGAGGAAACAACAAGAAATAAGATCAATTTTGGAAAGGGGCGTGGGTTGCTTCCTTCCCTAGAGGGAACTGAGCCTTCCAACTTACACCCAATTGCTGCTGAGGCTGCCAGGTGTGCGAAATCATGCCCACTCCAGCTTTTTGGCAGCGTGTTTAAATGCGGAGTGATAAATGTCCTGGACCAGCCCCCCAGATCTCCCCAAACGGGGTGTCAGCCGCTTTAGCCTAACTGGGCGCTAGGGGGGGGTGTCTGTCCCGCACCCAGAGGGTGCCTGTTGGCGAAGTCATTTCCTAGCGCAGACTTTTTGGGGGTGTGGGACTGGTGAGAGGGGTAAAGGGGGGCGAGCCCACCCCGAGCGTCCTCTGTACCCAAACCTGCCTGGCCGCTGGCCGGCCTCAGCCACAGCCTGCGGCCCACAACGAGCTAAGGCAGGGCGCGGCGCCCCTAACGGCCTGGGAGGGAAGGGACCTGGATGGCGCGCCGGGGCAGGGCTGCGGTGGGCGGGCAGCCTCAGCCGGCAGCTGCACCCCATCCCCCGGGAGGGCTGGGGAAGGCCGGGCCGACGTGCGGACGAACGGGGTGGCGGGAAGTCACTTCCATGCTTGCGCAGCTCTCCCGGCCTTTCCTCCCGTCCTCCCAGCCGGCTCCCCCGCCCGGGACGCTCCGCGCCATTCCGCGCCTTTGGCCCTGGCTCAAGGTCTTGTGATGTGATTAGCAAAGCCAGCGCCTTGTCCTCAGACACTCAGCCCAGCTCCGCAAGCCCCGGCGCTGAATCCCTGTTTACTGCAGCCTGGGCGGGGAGGGGGGCGGAGAAACGGGCCCAGGCTCCTCCGGGCGAGGCTGCCGCGGCAGCCGCCCGCGTGGCCACTCCCGCCCCCACCCCCACCGGGTCTCCACGTGCAGTCGGGACAGAGCCACCACCCACCGGACGCAGGCCCTGAACCCCCGCCACCCACCCGCCGGCCAGAGCACTCCTTGCGAACCAGCCGGCCGCGCGGACGGTTGCAATATTCTCGCATTTTGCAATTCCCGCGCCCAGTCTAGAACCGAGAGTGAGAGATTAAAGCTCCGCAATTTCGCCTAGCAGGATCGGGCGGGGAGAGACACGTCCAGGGCTGCAGAATCCTGGCCACGTTCAACGTGCAGGGGATTTCCAACAGTGCAGCCCCAGAGAAGGGGAGCCTTATCTTCCCGCCGCCACCCAGCAGCACCCATCAAGGACCAGCTCTCCACGCCGCCGCAGGCGCTCCGGCAGCCTGCCCCGCCCCGAGGACTCCCGCCCCCTCCTCCGGAGGAAAAAAAATTGGCGGCGGCCAATGGGAGGCCAAGAAGGTGCTTGACGTCCGCGAGCCGGCGGGCGGCGTTGCCTGGAGACCCCGGCGGGGTCAGCGTTCTGTCCCCTCCCCCGACACGCCCGCCCGGCCGCTGCCGCGCTCCCGGGCCCTATATAGGGCGCGCGCTCGCGGGCCGCCGAGTTCCAGCAGTCTGCGAGCTGTCGCCGGCTCCGCGCAGGGGGGGGGGGCGGGCCGGGCACCCCCGGGGCGCGGAGGAGCGCTCTTTGCTTCTCTGTCGTCTTTCCCCCCACTCCGCACTCCCGGACACCCTCAAACCAGGCCGCGCTGCTTCCCTTTCCCCCTTGTCTCGTCCCCCGGCAAACTTTCGGTCCCTCCCCCGCCGGTCACCCGTTATTCGTCGTGGCTCGAGCCGGGCCTTGCCTCCCCGAGGGCTCCTTCGGACCTCCCTGCCTGCAACTCCGACCATTACAGGATCCAGAAACATGTCGACCACACTTCTGTCCGCCTTCTACGATATCGACTTCTTGTGCAAGGTACGCGAGGGAGCAAGGAGGGAGGAAGGCGGGCAGGCAGGAAGCCCCTCGAGTTTTCAGACTTTCCGCCTTTGGGGCACCCCTCCCCATCTTGACTTTGGGGTCGGGAAAAGTCCTGGAGTTCGCTGTGGTGTGTGCTCGTGCCTTGTGGGCGGGGAGAAGGAGCAGGAAGGGAGGGCGGGCAAGAGGGAGTCGCTGTCGCTGTTTAGTTTGTCCGGCGCCGACCTCGGCCACGCTGCCCGGGGCTTCCCGGACCGGCTTTGCGCCGCCCAAGCTGGCGGCCCACGGGCTGAGGATCACATGTCGAAACCGAGCGCGGCCTGGGGTGGGAGTCGGCTCCTCCCAACGCGAACTTGATTCTTTTCGCGCGTGTACGGGTGGAGGGTGGGGGCCGGATCGAAATCTGCAGAAAGGAAGAAGAATCAGAAGGCTGAAGTTCTGCAGCTCGCTCCAACTCTTCCTTTCCATATTTCATCCCGTCCTCGCCCCCCTCCTTTTGGCAGACGGAGAAATCCCTCGCCAACCTCAATCTGAACATGCTGGACAAGAAGGCTGTGGGGACCCCCGTGGCCGCCGCCCCTAGCTCGGGCTTCACGCCGGGCTTTCTCCGACGGCACTCGGCCAGCAACCTGCATGCGCTCGCCCACCCCGCGCCTAGCCCGGGCAGCTGCTCGCCCAAGTTCCCCGGCGCGGCTAACGGCAGCAGCTGTGGCAGCGGGGCGGCGGGCGGCCCGGCCTCCTACGGCACCCTCAAGGAGCCGTCAGGGGGTGGAGGCACGGCCCTGCTGAACAAGGAGAACAAATTTCGGGACCGCTCGTTCAGCGAGAACGGCGAGCGCAGCCAACACCTCTTGCACCTGCAGCAGCAGCAGCAGAAGGGGGGCGGCGGTTCCCAGATCAACTCGACGCGCTACAAGACTGAGCTGTGCAGGCCCTTCGAGGAGAGCGGCACGTGCAAGTACGGCGAGAAGTGCCAGTTCGCGCATGGCTTCCACGAGCTACGCAGCCTGACCCGGCACCCCAAGTACAAGACCGAGCTGTGCCGCACCTTCCACACCATCGGCTTCTGCCCCTACGGGCCGCGCTGCCACTTCATCCACAACGCAGACGAGCGGCGACCCGCGCCGTCGGGGGGCGCCTCTGGGGACCTGCGCGCCTTCAGCGCGCGGGACGCGCTGCACCTGGGCTTCCCCCGGGAGCCGCGGCCCAAGCTGCATCACAGCCTCAGCTTCTCTGGCTTCCCGTCGGGCCACCACCAGCCCCCGGGGGGCCTCGAGTCGCCGCTGCTGCTCGACAGCCCCACGTCGCGCACGCCGCCGCCGCCACCCTCTTGCTCCTCGGCCTCGTCCTGCTCCTCTTCCGCTTCGTCCTGCTCGTCCGCCTCCGCAGCCTCCACGCCCTCGGGCGCTCCGACGTGCTGTGCCTCGGCGGCGGCTGCGGCCGCGGCGGCCCTGCTGTACGGCACAGGGGGCGCCGAGGAACTGCTGGCGCCGGGCGCCCCGTGCGCGGCCTGCTCGTCGGCCTCGTGCGCCAACAACGCCTTTGCATTTGGCCCGGAGCTGAGCAACCTCATCACGCCGCTTGCCATCCAGACCCACAACTTCGCCGCCGTGGCCGCCGCTTACTATCGCAGCCAGCAGCAGCAGCAGCAGGGCCTGGTGCCCCCCGCGCAGCCCCCAGCGCCGCCCAGCGCGCCCCTCCCTGCCAGTGCCACCGCGCCGCCCTCGCCGCCGTTCAACTTCCAGCTGCCGCGCCGCCTGTCCGATTCGCCCGTCTTCGACGCGCCCCCTAGCACCCCGGACTCGCTGTCGGACCGTGACAGCTACTTGAGCGGCTCACTGAGCTCGGGCAGTCTCAGCGGCTCCGAGTCCCCCAGCCTCGACCCTGGCCGCCGCCTGCCCATCTTCAGCCGCCTGTCCATCTCTGACGATTGAGGCAAGAGGGCGCCAGCGAGGAGGAGGAGGAGAAAGGGGGAAGGCTGTTCTGGGGGCGCCCCTGCCACCTGGAGCCCTGTTACGGGCAGGGAGGGGCGCGGGAGTTGGGGGGTGACAGGCCATGAGCAGAGACTGCGGGCCGCACCGAGCACTTGGACTCGAACTTGTGTGCCGGGAGGGGCCCTACCCCTCCCCTTTCGGTTTCCTCTTTTTGTTTTTTGTTTTTATTATTTTTATTATTATAATGAAGTTTCATTCTTGTTGAGCAAAAAAAAAAGCCAACGAACTTTTGTATTGATGAACAAAATACTCACAACAGGGCAGTTGTGATGCGAACAGAACAAAAAACCAAACACTTAAAACTTTTTTAGGTCTCCTAGGAGTTTGGGACTTTAGGGGGGAAAAAAAAATCAACCCAGCACCAGCAGCTACCAACCACCATTCCGTATCTTCACTTGAAAAGCATTAGTTAACAGTCCAGATGTGGGAACTCTTATGTGAGAGAAGTTCTTAATTGTCGTTTGTCTTCAGACCAGTGTAAACAAACAGCCAGCCACCACCTTGCTAAACCTCTAAGCTTCTGGAATCCAATATTCTACCAGGAATATGCCTTGATTGTAGTCCTCCACTCCATAGGTTTTTGTTTGACACAAAGTTCTTTATGTCTGGAAAAAAAAAGTGCATTCCAAAGTTTCCTACTGGTTACTGGTTTTGTTGCCACCACTTAGTGGATGTTTAATTTTAGAACCATTTTGTCTGCTCTTTCTGGAAGCCTTGGGCAGAGCTTAGTTCCTAATCGTTTTGGGGGAATAACTGCTGAATTTTTAGCTGTTTTGAGTTGATTCGCACCACTGCACCACAACTCAATATGAAAAAAACTATTTAACTTATTTATTATCTTGTGAAAAGTATACATTGAAATTTTTGTTCATACTGTATTTATCAAGTATGATGAAAAGCAATAGATATATATTCTTTTATTATGTTAAATTATGATTGCCATTATTAATCGGCAAAATGTGGAGTGTATGTTCTTTTCACAGTAATATATGCCTTTTGTAACTTCACTTGGTTATTTTATTGTAAATGAGTAAAAAAATCTTAATTTAAGAGATTGTATGTAATATTTATTTCATTAATTTCTTTCCTTGTTTACGTAAATTTTGAAAGATTGCATGATTTCTTTACAGAAATCTATCCTGATGCTGTGGAAGTAGTTTGAGGAATATCTTATGAGTTTTCTTAGAATGTATAATGGTTGTAGCCCATCCACAAAGTATTGACCACATACTTTGCAAGCAGGCTTAAATGTGGCATGCTTTTTGTCATTCCAGCTTTTTAAATTAGCAAGAAGAAAAATTTTGTTTTCGTTTATCCCACCAATTCTACTGTGACATACTCTGCGTTTAAAGACATGTAGCAATAATGGGGTGGGGGGGGTTAGTCTCATAGTGCCTTTGGAAAGGGCCAGAACTTGCCTTAAATCTTCCTCAACCAAATAAGTATTTTTCTATCAGTGCTTGAGAGAATTTGAATGTAGGATGGGTTCAACTGCACAAAAGGAGAAAATATTTACCACTTTCTTACATAGATCTAAAGTGAAAAGGCCACCTCTTAGTGCTAAGAATGGTATGTAGTACATGAATATGCCTTGTTTTCATTACAGAAAATTCCAAAACTTGTACTTTTTTTTTTTTTTTTTGCGTGTGTAGAAAGGCAGGAATGCTTTCCTGGACAGCGGATGAATGAGCAGTAGCTTTAGTTTGTACGTAGGTACAGTTGGAGCACTATGTATGTATGTACTCGCGACTACTTTGACAGAAGTAGGTTTTTGAATGTAACAAGAAAAGTCAACTTGAGTTGTAATATATTTTGGGGAATCAGTTCACTACAAATTGTGACTGTAAACATTGTACTGTAAATGTTTTGTAGTTTTCCCCCAATAAAATTTTTGGGAAAAAACAAATGTGTAAGATCAATTTTTTTTTTTTTTTTTTAAACATCGAGCGTTTTCACTCACTGTCACCTTGTCAGGCAACGCCGAGCCCTCGGAGGGGTGAGGGGGGCGGGGGGGCTAAGATCTGGGGAGCTGGCACAGTCAGGGTTCAGAAGGGCCTGCCCCTATGTATTTTAGAGCAAGTTCTTTAGCCGAAAGAAAGTAATTATTGGGACTGTCAAGGGCATGAGTTAGCTGTTCCCCTTGGTAATAAGATGCATCCCGGTGTTGGCTGGCTGGCTGGTGGCAGGGCCTGGCTGAAGCCCTGGAGGGGTGTTGCCCGCCTGTGAGTCACCAAGTGGGTCACGTGTTTGCAGTGGCAGCTGAGTTCCGATTTTTTTTTTTTTCTGCTGGGACGCCGGGGAACGGTCCGGCTAGGGGTGGGGAAGGCAGGAGGGTATCACCAGCCCCAGGCCTGCAGGCCCCTAGAATGCTCCACTGCAAAAGAGGCCCAGCCTTTTTCGGACTAGAGAAGGAAGAGTTTGGCCTGGACTTTGGGAAGCCTGGTTGTGTGTCCTTGTCTGGAGAGGAAGGAAGAGGGAGGAAGATGAAACCGGTCAAGCTTACATCTGGGCTATCTGGGTAATGTTTGTTTATGCGGACAGCTTCCTCTGGGAGTGAGCACACTCGGTATTTATGCAGGAGGATTAGTGTCTGCTTCAGGCGACTGTTAGGTGGCCAGAAAGCAAATGCAACCCAGGCCTCCAGAAGAATGAAGAAAAAAACAGCACCAATTTGTCTGCCGATTCGCACACAAATGAACAAAACCTTGGTATGGTTTGGGGTTTTTGTTTTTGCTTTTTTTTCCTAGCATCACTTTCAAGACTTCAAAATCAGGTTCATAAATCAATTCATGTTTTTCCCTTCTCCCATCCTCCCCCCACCACCCCCAGTTCAAGACACTTTTTTCCAAAGTAGGTAAAAGATTTAGCAATAGTTTGTTTTCTTATCTACAACAGCTGGGCCCTATCAACCACTGCTTGCGCCTCACTGCTGGGTCTCCTGCGTCTCCCAGCTGAGTCGCTCGGGTGGGGGGTTGGGGTGGGGTCTGGAGCCCGCCGAGCCTCGGGCCTCGGGCAGCTGTTTCACGTTAGCAATGATTGCGCTGGTGTTAACTGGAGCGTTTTGGTGCTTGGCTGCCAAAGGCGATGGGGAACAGTTTCAAAGTTCTCCCAGATGCCGGGCCCCTGGCTAAAGGCCTGGGCCGTGGGGGAGGGGAAGCCTGGAGCCCAGGAGGGCTTCCAGGGCCTCTCCACCATAAAGAATGTGCAGTGGGGAGGAAAAATCTGAAATGCGGTGCTATTTAGGCCAAGCTGCATTTCAAAGGCCTTGTTTCCACCTCATTCCAAAACTTATTTTTCTAAACAAGTACTTTTGATCAGCTGGAATGTCAGACTTGTTGGGGTAAGCCACATTCATTTTTAAAAAATTGGTTTGTTTGAAAGCCCAAGTGCTAGGATCTGATGTTTTGTGTTTGAGACCCAATGAAGCATGGCAAGGTGGGGGGGAATCATTCAGAAATTTCCTCTTGCTGCAGATCAATGGAGGGTATATATAGGTCATTGTCTCTCTGCAGCAGCTGGAATGAGCAGCACACAAAACTCTTCTGCTATTGCTCGGTCACCCTTAGGAAAGTCTTCTTGTAAGGGAAGGGGACTAGAAGTAAAAATTGCAAGCAAGTAAGGACAAGCCGGGATTCCTGTCACGGGCTGGGGAGCAGAACTGAAGCTTACTGGGTCCAAGTCTGTGTCACACTCAAGATAAAATTCTTTCGCAGCCAGTTGTGAAAATGAGCCCAGGATGGGAGGAAGTTGAGTGTATCTTTTCTATTTTTTTTTTTTAAGATTTTGTTTATGTATTAGAGTAATGAGAGAGAGAGCACAAGCCGGAGTGTGGGGGGGGGGAGGGCAAAGGGGGAAGCAGACTCCCTGCTGAGCAGGGAGCCCAACACAGGGCTCCATTCCAGGACCCTGAGATCATGACCTGAGCTGAAGGCAGATGCTTAACCCACTGAACCACCCAGGGGTCCTGAGAATGTCTTAATAGTGGGGGCGCCTGGGTGGCTCAGTGGGTTAATCATCTGCCATTCAGCTCAGGTCATGATCCCGGGGTCCTGGGATCAAGCCCTCTGTTGGGCTCCTTGCTCAGCGGGGAATCTCCTTCTCCCTCTACCCTTACCCCCTGCTCATGATCTCTCTGTCTCAGTCTCTCTGTCAAATAAATAAATTCTTTTTAAAAAAAGAATGTCTCAGTAGTAGCTTTGCCACTGGCTGCTTGAAAACAAAGATATTTTTTTAAGCAGCCCAATTAGTATATGCCACCTTCTAGATTATTTCAGAGAAGGGATGCATACATGGACAAACTTGCCGCTCCTCACTCTGTCCAAATCTACTACTGAGTATACAAAGGGAAAAACAATAACAACACACACAGAACGATTGAAAAAGCCAAAGCCCAGTACCCGCCGGTGGGAAGAAGCTGGGGGCAGCAGGGGTTGTGAGCCCCCCACCATGGCTCAGGAGCCTGGATGAAAGGTCCAGGCCCTGGGAGGGCCCAGAGAAGGAAGGACAGACAGGCACAGCTCTTGGCCCCAGGTCTGTCCCAGCAAGAGGATGCTGGGTATTAAAATCTGCTTGGGGTCCAAGAACCACCCCCCACCCCACCCCAGGCTGGACTTGTTCGAGGAGGAAACCCTAGAGAGCATTTGAACAGGGAGGGAACCATCCCCTGGCACTTGCTGTCCCCCAGTTTTGTGGATGGTGACTAGCCAAGTCCTTGGCCTGGTGACTTGGGGCAGCCAAGGGGGCATCTGGAGGCTGAGCTACAGCCAGGGTCCCCTTCTGTCAGAGGACCGGAGCCACCCTCCATTGTTGTTACCCCATTTCATTGTTTGGTTTTTGCCGTGCATGCTGCAGGTTGTGCTGAGCTGTGACCCTCCAGGACAGTTCCAGTTCCCTGGGGTTGGCAAGGCCCAGGAGTAACGGAGGAAAAAAGGGAGGGGCCACGGAGGGGGCCCAGGAGGAGTCCTGCGGGCAGGAGCTGGGTGAAGAGCTC